AGCTTATCAAAGTGTCACTCGTGAGAGTCGCTGAAAATGGCAGGTCATGATAGTACCAGCAAGACATAATCGCCATAAAAAAGTGAAAAATAGTATAGGGGTATGTGATGCGATATTTAAGGTTAATTGCAATTGACAGGCGCCTCCAATTTCATATTTAAAAAATAAAGATTATAGAATGGAGTGCCAGCTGGAAGTAAGCAAGGCTTATCAAAGTGTCACTCGTGAGAGTCGTTGAAAATGGCAGGTCATGTTACTACCAACAAGACTATACAGTGCGTCCCAGAAAAAACGAAACCGAGAATTATCGATGTTTTTATCATAACTTAATCACAATTATAGTTGATAAATGACACATATTCAGAAAGCTTAGATCCTCCTCTTTCATTTGATGAAATTCATATAATGCATATTTCACGAATGAGTGATTAAAATTAATTTGAGGAGAGGAAACCAAAACATCATGTGGCGGACGGTATCTGAATTTCAAAGAGAAAATCCCATTTCTAGAAAGTTGAGTTTCTGCCCTTTCATATGACACCTCAATCAGGGAAAATGAGCTAGGAATAACAAAGTTCTGTTTGTTTAAAGTGATGCTTGCATTTCCATAATTTTATCGAACGAATTCGTCTTCACTGGCCACCTGCCGTAGCAACAAACGGAATGAACAAAAGACATAACTCCGTTTCGTTGACAATCAACCGTAGGCAGGCGGGTACACAGGGGGGGGGGGGGGTTAAACCCCCCTTTGGTATTTTTATGTGTGTAACCCCCCCCCCCCATCACCCCCTAACCCCCCTTTTGATTTTTTGATTTAAAAAAAAAAAAAAAAATCCCATAGCTGACCTAAAAAGATGACCTTACCTCCCCCCCCCCCCCAACGGAACCAAATGTCAAATTTTCAAATTTCGAGACCAAAAAAAAAGTGTCCTCTTACCCTCTTGCGGGGGTGGGGGGGGGGCGCAAGTGCCTTTTGCCCCCCCCCCCCGGAACTACAACTTGTTGGCGGAAAAATTGCTACTGATATTCCTCTTCTTTTTGTAAGGGGGTGGTAGATTGGGACGGGTAGCCGGAATGAGTGGGGGTAGACCTCGAACAATACAGATGACAATGGCAGCCTGAGGAGTAGAGTTGGTGCTCTTTATTCTGTAAAGGACACACCGCTATAAGCGGGGTGGGAACGGGGTCAAGTAATGATAAACAGTTATCAATTACAAGAATAAACAACGACACATCTTTCAGCATTATGACAACAAAAGGTAAACAGTGTTCACTACACTAAAACATTTGAATCGTTAATAACAATAACTTTAACTTATTTAAGACAATGCAAATGCCCAAAGTGTATAAGCTGGATCAAATACAAATTCCTAACATAATTAATCAAACTTAAAAGATCATAATTCTTCGTTAATCAGGTTTCTCTACACCAAAACCTAACACATAGTCATTAGCGCCCAAGTTCCCGACTACAACAGTCACACTCCAAGGCCCAATTGACCGTACACACAAATGCATTCCACCCGTACAGGCATAGCCTACGCATCCATTTCCTCTACGTGTAATCTACTTGTACATTAAGAAGTCACACCCTCTGAGCATTACGTAACAACAATATCGCCTTAAATTACACCTTTCTGTTAACAAATATCATGTTCTTTGAACATATTTGTAAGCCTTATAATAATACTAATTCGTTTAAAACCAGGATATGAACAAAACATAGTAACAATATTATCAAATATAACAATTTAAACACACATAAAAACTAAGCCTTGCTTACCTATAAGCGGGGTGGGAACGGGGTGAAGGTCACGGTTCTAAAGCCCGCCACCAACGACCTCCTTACATCTTCTTCTTCCTCTTTTCTCCTTCCCTTTATCTCCTCTTTGCCTTCTTTTCCTTTACTCTCTGTCTGTCTCTCTTTTCTTTGCCGGGGGGGGGGGGGGGCAAGGCCCGCTCCTTCCCCCACCCCCTGGATCCGCGCCTGCTCCTCTGAATGAAACGGTTTAGTATACACGGGAGCGAAAAAGTCTAAGCACAAAGATTGCGAAATCTTAAGCATATGAAATAGATGGTTGGCAAACTTTCAAATGATGAAAAGCAAAATTTCGATCTCAGCTTTACAATATTTTCAGTTATAGGAAGTACATTTTTTGAAAAAGTAATTATTAAGAAAAACATAGGCCTCTCCTCCCCGTATAAATACTGGGTGAGTGCAAACGGGCCGTTAACCATAGGTTCCCCCTACTCTTATACAAATGCTGCAGTAGATTCTTAAAGGTGAAAACAAACAGGTTATGACTTTGATAACTTGTGTAAACGAGCTTACAAATAATTAACTCTTATCACGCCACAGTGCTAATCCCCATTGTGTCAAGCCCAAATCCACCCGTGCCAGGTTGTTTTGGAGATAATCTGATTAACGCGATGGATCTGTGAATAGCGAGTGCAAAACACACATCACAGTCCAATGAGCATGATCAATAACTGCTATTACGAATGCGCCCTTGCACGCACATGGCACTCAAGCGATGGCTTTCTCGCATTCAAAGCACTATAACGATAGCGTGCATGCAGCCTCATGGCAGGCTATGAGTTAATATATTCTGGTCAGATCCATGATTTTATGTGGAAACACAAGAAGACAAACATATGTGCAAGGGGATACAAGATGCCGGAAGCTTCAGAGAAACGGGAGAATTATTTCACGTGTTTATGCTAGGGTACTGAAATAGTGTCCTGTGATAACTGGCTAAGACAAAAAATAAAAAAAATTAAATACCGATAGGCTATTAACAGTTGCCAGATGTTTTGGGGTCAAAATCTAAAGGAGGTGTGTGCACGAGACACAATTAGGGAAGATGAACTATGCCCGATTAGGTTTAAAGGAGGTTCCAGTAACTATTGATGGGAGGGGGGGGGGGGGGGTGCTGCTTATTTAAAGTCCGCCACTTTATAGTTTATAACTTTTATTCATGCATTATGTTAATGGGGTTTATACATGTATCATTGAATAATTTGGCAAACCATCAATGCAGAGTATGTTTCTTTTACCAACGTCTCCACTATCGAAAATAAAATGATATTTTTTATAGTGATTTAACTGTTGAAGAAAGATCACTCATTTATGAAAACAATATTAAATATACCAAAGAATTCCAATGATTTGTCTATATAACATACAGAGATCTGATGATAATTCAGGTAGCTTATATATTATATGCAAATAAATACTTTTTTCATGGGACATTTTTTTCGAGTGTGCAGTTGTAACATCTCTTTGGCTATTTTCAGAAAGTTATTTTACGTTTGAATCTTTACAATTACTGTGTGGATGTACCAAAGATTACTATAATTCTATTTGTATAAATGTATTTTATGGGGTACCAGATTATATATATATATATATATATATATATATATCAGTGTGAGTTAAAGAAAGACGAACTTAATTGTCAATCTCTTCTTTCTGTGATCAATGTGAAATATAAAACAAAATATGTTATTACTGCCACACATAGTAAGCACGTTAGGTATAGTTACTAATTGTTATTCATACCCATCGTAAATTTCATGTCTTTCTGTTTTTCGTAAGTCAAGAATGACAAGTGAACTGGTTGAATTAGAGCCTTTAATTTGTTTAATAGTTTTAGATGTAAGCTTTAAGATGTAAGCTTTAATATGCAACATTACCAAGAAATCCAATTTTCACACACTTATAATACACTAATAATTATTTGTTAAGTGTTAACTTAATGTTGTTACGTAACAGAGTTTTATCCAGGCTCAAGGTCGACGCATAGGCGCTCATGATTGGTTCATGAAGATGATGAGCTTATCGGGTTGACCGAACCGAAATAATTTGTGGTCCGAATCCTTTATAAATAGGGGTTGCTTTCCTCACAAATATCGTCTTTGGGCGCACCTTTGCGACGCACGGAAGTTCAAAGGTAAGTCGGCTAGAACCTGAATAATTCATCAGTTTTTGTCACCAACGCTTTGGTAATATTTCAGGTTATCATACCTCAATACTTCATGAAAGCTGGCTCTTGATTTAAATATTTGCCTATGGATTTCACCTACTTTTTAGGCCTATACCTCCAAGTCATCTTGAATTCTTTTTAAGTTAGTGATTATGCTAGATCTGTATAAATATCGTTATCTCTGTTAATAAATCAACGTAATAAAAAAAAAAAGAGCTATTGGTTAATTCTGCTTTCAGTAATCTGTCTCCAGCTAACTCCACTGTAAGAATTGCCTATTTCTATGAACATAACTGTAATTATCACCATTCTTAATTTATTATTCAATTGAAGTAAACCAATCGCCACTCTTAAAAAGCTGAGGCTCTAGCTGTCTTCACTCTTGATGCGATTGAGCCGGACTATCGCTGCTTTCCTTTCAATCGCAAACCTAAAAACTGTTAAATCTTTCTTTAGGACTGAGTGTGATTAGAAAACATAAATCCTTTCTTGATTTCAGTTGTAGTTTTATTGTAGTTTTATTTCCATTTCAAATATTTCAATTCTTTCCGACCGATTACAAAACACGAATCGTCGATTGATGTCAACTCCTTCCTCTATTTACATTTTGAATAGTTTTATTTTTTCCTATTGATTGAAAAACCGAAATATTTGCTCGATGTCAGTTGGTTGTTTTACTTCAGATTTCACCCCCTTTTACATTCTTTCCTGTTGATTGAAAAACATAAATCCTTGCTCGATGTCAACTTCTTGTTTTCTCTCCCATGTCAGCTATTTCAAGATAAATTTCGCAGAAGAACCAAGATGTTTGGCGGAAAAAAGTCCACCCCAATCATCCTTCTCGTCATTCTACTTCTTCAGGATGCGCGCCGATGTTCTGCAGGGCTACCGATACCCAGCGGTGTCACTTTCCTGGGTATCGGGTATAACATCGTCGAGGGTAACCCTGAAGGGGGCGACATGGCCACCGGGGGCGTTGACCCCGGACTCCTGGTTAGTCGGTCGATCTTCGTCATGACGTACGACGACGGTAAGATCACTAACGATGGAAAGTACCAGATCCCGGACGAGGTTAACTTTGAACTTCGGGACGCCGCCTTTACCTCGTCTTCAGCGACCACCTTTCATGGTACTTCCAGTTATGCCAAGAAGCTTTCAGCTCAGGTGTCTGTTGGTGGTGAGTTATTTCAATTTCAATCCAAAGTCTAGCAATTATATATTTTCAACATTTTTTCTTTCATATTTACATGATTTTTTAAATCATTAAATGTATATAACAAGAGAAAGCAGTTTTATCGTAGTAACGATGATAATAGTATACTCACAACAATGATAATGAAAATAATAATGATTATGGTTATTACAAAAAGTGAATAATGATTTAAAAGCGCATAATAAAACAAAATCATGTCTCTATGTGCTTTACAAATATGATGGAGAATGAAGAATCTAAAAACTATGTAAAGTACCGAGAAATATTAAAGGTACAAACCAGTTTTGGAAACGCCCCCCTCTCAAAAAATAAAATGGAAGCTCTTATTACCAATCATTTAAAAGAATATGTTTTGACTAATACATGATGAAACAAATTTTGCCGGGAAACTGCATGCTACTAATTGATATATTTGGTAAATTAGTCGACCTATTGGGATGTGATAGATATAACGCACGTGCCGCGCACGTGTGCGTAGTCTCATATACATCTTTCTACGTGTACAGTGCTTGTAACTTTACGAAGACTAGGCCGAATTTCTTATCATTTTGATGATTCCAGAACCTTGCAGTACACACCAATACTTATAATTATATGCTAGATGATGACTTTCCAAACGCTTTTTAGTATCAGAGGCTAAAGTCCATGTTTCACTACCATGCATAAGTACTGGGTATATGTAACAATTCAATACTCTTATTCTGGTCCTCATACTCATTGTTCGATTTGTCAGAATTTTGCCTAGCTTTGAAAATGCAGATTTAGCGAGAGCTATCCTTCTCTTGATCTCTGTCTCACATCTGGCATCCTCGGTGACCATGCTGCCGAGGTAGATTAATGAGGAGACTTGTTTAATAATCTGTTCTTTCAGTTCCAAGTTACATTTTGGACTGCTCTTCTTAGAGACCACCAGGCACTTTGTCTTGGTATAGTTGATCTCTAGTCCCATTCTCTCACTTTCGTTTACAACTACATTCAGGAGTCTCTGGAGATCTTTCTCCGATTCAGAACATAAAACAGTGTCATCAGAATGTTTAATATTTGTGATTGAATGGCCACCCACTTGTATCCCATTTTCATCTTCCAATTCTCTTAGAATGATTTCACTATACATATTGAACAGGTCCGGCGACATAACACAACCCTGTCTGACTCCCCGTCTGATGTTAATATATTCACTACACTCTCCTTCTACCCTGATGCATGCAAACTGATTCCAATATAGACTTTGTAGCAGTCTCAGATCTTTCCTATATATATCAAGCTTTTTCATTTCTTCAAAAAGTTCTGAATGTTTTACTTTATCAAAAGCCTTTGAATAATCTATAAAACACATGTACACCGTAGGTGCACACATGAATATTAGGGACTTTTAGATTCGCACGAAGACAATGGGGATTGCTACGCTCGACGTCCTTTTAATGCACTGCCTTGAATGGACGTCACACGTATCAGTCCACGCAAATTAATCTAAAGGCCGGTCACACAGCCCTCCGGCGGGCGTATCGCGGCCGAATCACGGCCAAAAATTTCTGCAAGTGAAGCAGACGCTGTTGGACGCTTTGAGGTCGCGATAAAGACGCGATACAGCCGTACTTTACCCGTCGTTACACGCGGTAAGAAATTCACACGCGGTTGGCCGCGCGAAAAAGTTTTGGGCTGCCCAAAAATTTAGACCGCGGGTAATCGCGGGCGGTACACGTGGTACACACGCGGTAAAGACGCGGTACAGACGCGGAACGAACGTGCTAGGACGTGCTACGGCCGCGGTTAAGACGTGGTTACACGCGGAATTGGACGCGAAATTTTAGCGGGTAATCGCGGGTGGAGCACGGTCATAGCACGTTTGTTCCGCGTCTGTACCGCGTTGTTATCACGTGCATTAGCGTGTGTACCGCGTGTAAGCGTGGTAGGCCGCGGTACCGCCGCGCTTCACCCGCGATAAGGACGCGGAACGGTCGTCGGCGTCTGTTCCGCGGGCATACCACGGGTAAACCGCGGGTAAGCCAATTTTGCACATTTTTCCACCACGGGCAACCGCGGGCAAAAAAAAATCGCGAAATTTTACCCGCGATACAGACGCGAAAGGCTGTGTGACCGGGCCTTAAGAGTCCCTACTGATTCGTAACATGAGCACGTATTCCTGTCGGTGGGTTTTACAATTTTATCAGAAATGACCGTTATCTGCCCATGCGAAGATAGTATTTACGACAATGCTTATTGGTGCGAACTGCAAGGTTCTGGAATAATCAAAATGATCAAGTATTTAGCCCAGTCTTGGAAAAGTAACAAGCACTGTACACAGAAAAATGTATATGGGACTACACAAACAAGCATAAAAACCGGGCTTCGTTTTTAAGCTGTTACTGTCTTGTCATATTTAGAATATGAAGGCATTTGGAGAGCCATGCTTTTCAGGGAACATTCTTTTATCTGATTTTCTTCCACACTTGCATAATAACAATGATAACGCTCACAAATTATTTTCACCTCTCCCCAGAACTCAACCTTCTCTTTTGAATGCCATAAAAATCTCTAACTCGATATATTTACATTACTGTAATTTTTTTTGTTTACATTAAGAATGGTTCAAGTTCGAATACTAAAAGGTAGTGTATCCCTTTTGCAGCCAACATCAAATTTTAAAGAACTTTGCAGGAAATATCAATATGTCGCGTATGTCCTATCTGTGAGATTTAAACATGAGCAGTGTCCTATAATCCAATTATGCAAGAAATCCCGTTTACTTTCTAGACTTCACTGTCAGACACTATTGAGTGACTGACTGACTTATTTTTTCTTTTGGAATAACATACATAACATGAGCTGTAAAGGGTACCTGAACCTTTGTCTTTTTCAATAACCCACTTCTTGAAACGACCAAAATTAAACTAATTGAATCTTTGCGCAGCACAAAACGTACGACCATTCGGTACAAGGGTAAAACAGTCAGACTATTTAATTAAACGAGCGCGCTCGCTAAATTCGATTCGACAACTAACGGTCGATATTTTCCCACAAAAGACATTTGTTAGCACTTTTGTTTTCAGGGGAGAATCGAAATTAGTATTCTTTTTCAAATGCCGTTGGAATTTAAACTTTTCATTTGTTGGGCCTGAAAATGGGACAAAGTAGGCCTACCTTTAAACAATACATATAGAGATCAATTGATCATTCAGTGATACTTGTACAAATAACGATGAACCTAATACACCAGTATTTTTATCATTCATATAATAAAACATGATTTTAAAAATCCTTCATTTCTTTTCAGGTGGATATAGCGGCTTGTTTGCTAGTGTTGAATTCGCCGCAAGCGCCCGTAAGTAATTCACAAATTATTATGATAATGTTCGTATATTGTAATGCAGCTATGAAAAATAAATCGCAAAAGTATTATATTCTGCACACAAAATGAGTCATCAGCAAAAACGTAGCCTATACATTATTAAAGGGAAAGTCCACCCTGAAATTAAGTTAGTTTTAATAGGAGTAGAAAAATGAGAGAAACAAGTCGGTGAAAGTTTGAGCAAATTCCGATTAAAAATAAGGAAGTTAGGATTTTTGAAGTTGTGATCAATCAAACACAAATTGGCAACTCTATGACGTATCATGCGAGCTCAACTTCCATTTGCTCAGTACTAAAAAAATCTAAAATTTTCATTTTCCCTCAAGAAAAATTTCAACCATACATGCACCCTAAATATAATAATTGCAAATATGTTTCTATACTCCCCCTGCAAGGAACAAATATATATTCCGTCATCAATAACGAAAAAACATGATTTTATGGAATATTATGCACAAAGTAAATGAAGGAGAGCTCGTATAATAAGTCACAGAGTTGCCAATTTGTATTTGATTGATCACAACTTCAATAATTCATAACTTTCTTATTTTCATTCAGAATTTGCTCAAACTTTCACTCACCTGATTTTCTTATTATTCTGCCTCTATCGAAACAAACTTATTTTTGGGGTGGACTTTCCCTTTAAAGGGATATAGACAGTCACACACACTTTTTCCCACGTAATTTTTTAATTTTTATTTCATTCATTATCAAAGCAATACTAACAATTCTCAAAATACAATTCAGTTTGCTGCATGCAAAATTCGTAAATTACGATTAAAACAGATTTGGGGAATGAAATCAGTTACAACATTTAAACAAGAACCACACACACACACGCACACGCTCACATACACACACACACACACTCACACGCACACAGACGCATGCCAGGCATGAGCGTAATACTCAATATTATGAATTTGTTTATTATTACTTTTTTCAGGTTATCAAAAAATCGAGTCGCGAACGAGCAGCGAAGGTTATATCTACTACGCGAATGAAACCGTATCAAACTATGGCAACGCGCGTTACTTGACGGAGCTTGCAGGTCCTGACAATTACACCCTCAACAACGGATTTGTTTCTACCGCATGCCGTCTACCAACGGCTTACGCTGAGGATGACTACATGACTTTCCTCGAGACCTGGGGAACTGTAAGGAACAGCATATTTTTTCAAAATCAACATTTTTTCTTCTTAATTATTTGGTTTTAAATCAAAGCGAAGTTAAACTTCATGTCTGATTGGTATTATTTTTATTTGCAAAAAAATTTAAAGATGAAATTCACTTCCCTTTATACAGGTTATGAAAGCTCAATCTGACATTATTTCAGCTTAAAGGTAAAGACCAGTATTGGAAACCCCCCAATTTCAAAAAATGAAATGGAAGCTCTCATTACCAATCATGTGAAAGAATATGTTTTGACTAATACATAATGATAAAAAAATTTCCGGGAAACCGCCTACTAATTCATATATTTGGTAAATTTGTTTCTCTCATGGTCTGTGAGAGATATAGGGTAGTCCCATATACATCTTTCTGTGTATAGTGCTTGTAACTTTACGAAGAATGGGCCAAATTTCTTATCATTTTGATGATTCCAGAACCTGAGATGCTAGATGCTAGATGATCAACCTTTTCTGATCGATTCCACAATGTTTCTTTCACAATGCAATCGCATGACCATAACTGGTCTTTACCTTTAATAAAAGGTTTGTTAAATTTCTCAGTCGAGCGCATACCAAACAATAAACTAAAAATACTTGAAATGTTAAATGCCATTAAATATCTCATTTTTGTATAGGAAAAAATTCTCCCCTGTTAATCAGTTGGTCTCAATGAAGGCAGTTAAAAACAGGCACGTACGCAGGAGGGGGGGGGGGTGGATTTGGGTACCCCCCCTTAATATTTTGTTATGTGTGTGTTTTAGAGGAAACCCCCCCCTTGCTAATCGATGACCTAAAAAAGGTTACCCCCCCCCAACGGAACGAAATGTTAATCGGTCAAATTTCCAAATTTTGGGACCCCCCCAACAAAATGTCCTCTTACCCCCCCCCCTCCGTTTATTCAGCGGCTGACTGAGTCGTTGCGAAATTTTCGGCCCGATTTGAAATTGTTAAAACCGCCCCCCCCCCCCCCCCCCCCCCCCCCTTGAAAAAATCCTGCGTTCGCGCCTGGTTAATTAAGAGAAAGATATAAATGGAAGTTTGAGCATATTGCAATTAAAAGAAGAAAATCATAAATTTTCAAAATTTGTAATCAATAAAATCAAAACAAATCCCAGACATTTCTTTAAAAACTTACTCCAATAATAGATGACACTACGAATTCTGATAGGACGTTCATGGTTCAGAAAGCAGTGGCTACTTTTGTTAAACGTTTGAATATATGACGTAAAAAATAATAATATGCATTACAGTTAACTTACGTTTTTAAGGAAATCTAAAGAAGCTAAAGCCGAAAGAAAATCATCTTTATGTATGAAGAGTATTTTGTCATCGATGTATCCATGTTTCGTTTCATATTTCTGTTCTTTGTGAACTTTGTCTGAGCCTTCACTTTACATGTGACCAAACCAAATATCCATGTTGAATGACATTGGACAAATAAATATATTGAATTGAATGGAATTGAATTAAAAAAATGAACCTAACTTCGAGGGAAACTAATTTGAGTGTTCTTTGTTTTGACAGCATGTCGTCACCGAGGTGGATCTAGGAACCAGGGAGGGTTCGAACTATGAGGAGCATAGGGCGGACTTCGTCTCGTACGCTTCAACAAATGTAAGACTACATTGCAAGAGAAAATAATGGGAGTATTTGTATTCTTGTCTTTTTTTTCCTCTCATTTATTTATCTATACTTACGTTCTTATTCATAGAGATAAATTTTTATTTTTATTCATTTATCTATCAATTTAATGTTTCCACCGTTGGATGAAACACCCGGAACATATGATTCCACTAAGCAAGTTTATATACAATGCCCTTTGCGAGCGTTTGTTTCTAGTGATACTGCTGCTACTCCGACTACTCCTACTACTAGTACTACGATTAATAATAATAGTAATATAATAATGATTGTAACAGTAACAGGATCAAAATAATATAATGACAATAATGGATATCTTCATGATCACAGGTCGGTGGTAGTGTCAGCGCTGGAGGGTCATATATGGGCTTCAGCGCCTCGCTTTCGGTTGAAATGGATTCCTTCAACAGCGGAATGCAGAGTGGCTCCAGTTTCGGTAGCATGTACTCCTCCTATAGGGTTGGAAGCCTTAGTCTGAATGGTGTGAAATAGAATCTTTATTTTATTGATTTTATGTTAATTATGTACCAAAATCATTGTTATTTTGTAAGGATAACTTTTTACAAGCCATTTATGTGCTTATCATGATACTCTCACTTCTGTCCGACAAATCATTTCTACCTCCATTTTGTCCTTATTTCTTTCTGATTTTCCTCATCACCGTTGGCCTACTGTTTTCCAATACGCATCATTATTTTGTTTTAATATTATTCTTATTATATGAAAATGTATATGATGAGGACATCATTTCAATCCGTGATTATGATACATATCATTTATCTCATAATGGAATAGCTGAACATCAAATAAAATCGAATATAAAATATCATCTTATCCATATATTAAAGGTACTATGTCCCTTTTGCAGCCAACCTCAAATTCTGTAGAACTTTGCAGGAATTGTGAATATGTCATGTATGTCCTATCTGTGAAATTTAAACGTTAGCAGTGTCCTCATATTCAAATTATGCAAGGAAACCCGTTTACTTGCTAGACTTCACTGTCAGACACTATCGAGTGACTGACTGGCTTTTTTTCTTTTTTGGTAATAACATACATGAAAAGAGTTGTAAAGGGTACATGAGCATTTGTCTACATCAATAACTCACTTCTTGTGATGGCCAAGATTAAACTGATTGAATCTTTGCGCAGCATAAAACATATGACCATTCGGTACAATTGTCTGAAAATCAAGACTATTACTATTGGGCTCTATAGCCCTAAAGTCGATTTGACAACTAATAGTCATTATTTTCCCACTTGAAGACATTTTCAAGCCCCACCTTTTTTAGGGAAGTTCTAAATAAGTATTATCTTTCAAATGCAGTTGGAATTTAACTTTTTCATTTTTTGGCCTGCAAATGGGACATAGTACCTTTAACAACAAATCATTAAATAAAATCTAATTTAACAAACTAAAACAAAGTCGTTCAAGTAAAATCAGATGAAATCAAACCGAATCAAATCATTCAAACCAAATCAATTCAAATTAAACAAAATTAAATCTAATCAAACAAAACCAAATTAATCATATGAAATGAAATTAAATGAAATCTATTCTTATCCAATCAAATCTTTCCAGAGCCAATCAGCTTGAAACTCGTCGACATGCATGAGCTATTTGGTGAGGATTACTGGACCCAGATGCAGGCTTACATCGATTCTGGGCACTGCTCGGCATCATGGAATAGGACGGCGGCTGCGGAGAATGTATTGACGGCTTTGAAGAGCTATCGGAATTGGAAGAAGATACACGACAGCACGAGTTGGTTTTGTTTCCTTATTCTTTTTCTCTTTTTGCACTCGAAATTTGTAATAATAATAATAACCTTTCAAATAAACCGCTTAAGACCAACCGTTAAAAATTTACGCGACCGACCCAAACGCTGACAGCGTTATAGTCATGCGCGATATATGTTATCTGTAGTTGTCAGCTAGTACGTGCCATCGAATTCGAAGAGATTGGCCAACCCGGTTTGAGTTGGGCACAATATGCCGAATAACGCCTCATTCGCTTACAATCATGCTCATACTTAAGGCATTTAAAACCTAGAAAGAGAGGAGCAATGCAGATAAAACACCTTGCCGAAGGACACAAGTCCCCCCCCCCCCCCCCCCCACCCACTCCCTGGAGATAATAATACTGCTGGCAGGGATATTTCAAGATTTCAATTCAATTCTTAAAACTGCCTATATGACTAAATTTTCAGCAAATTTACGCGAAAGTAGCCAAATATGTTTTTGTACATCTTACCATCAAACCTGACTACCACTGAAGGCAAACACAAAAACTGGCCACTGTAAACGGGTGGCCTTTGTAGACAGGTTCTTCAACACAGTCATGTTTCCTTCATAAGGGGTGCAATATAGGTGACCACTAAGATTAAGGTTTGATTGTAGACTGTTTTTCATATTTGCAAATATTACAAACAGTCTAACTTCGAGATTTCAACGGATTTATCAAAAAATAGTTTTTAAAGCAAGCGACATGAGTGCCAGAGCTAGATGATACATGCTCTTTACAAGGCTTTCATTTCAATTATTGCCACTGAATGATGATAATAATCTGGATTTGTATATCGCTTTAATAATAAGAAATACTGTCTCTAAGCGCTTTATATAATTATATTATAACCCCGGGCATCGGATTCATTCACGAACAATGTGCACCATATCCACTCCCTGTGGAGTATTCCTACTATTTGGTCACCATGAGGGCAATTATTAACACAAATGTTTTCGCCATCCTACCTGGTCCCCATTTTTCTCCTAATTGGTATGGGTGGCAAATGTAGATTAATGCATTGGCAAAGAACATGAGTGCCGTGTCGGGGATCGAACACACGACCTTTGCGTTTCAAGTCAAGTGTTTAAACCACTCGGACACGACACCTCTACTCAGGCGCGTACGCAGGATTTTTTCAAGGGGGGGGGGGGGGGGGTTTTAACATTTATAAATCGGTCCGAAAATTTCGCAACGACTCAGCCAGCCGCTGAATAAGCGGGGGGGGGGGGGGGGGGGGGGGGGGGGGGGGGGGGGGGGGGGGGGTAAGAGGACACATTTTTTTTTTTTTGGTCCCAAAAAAATCGCAACGACTCAGCCGACCGCTGAATAAGCGGGGGGGGGGGGGGGGGGGGGGGGGTAAGAGGACACTTTTTTTTTTTTTTTTTGGTCTCGAAATTTGGAAATTTGACATTTTGCTCCGTTGGGGGGGGGGGGGGGGGGGGGTAAGGTCACCTTTTTTAGGTCGGCCACACAAAAAAATTCCAAAGGGGGGTTTAACCCCCCCAAACCCCCCCCCCCCCCCTGCGTACGCGCCTGCCTCTACTTAAACCCTCTGTTAGCCCCCACATGTCGATCGGCTGACAGGAGTCTCACTCCAGTTAGGCTCAATCAAGACAGACGGCTCAAAGGGTAGAACTGCGACGAAAAATGATCACAAGATGCTTCCTTAATTGCACACAGTTCCTGGTTAAACAAATGGCATGGGACTAAAAAGGCGTCAGGTAGGAAATGTTGGGACCATGCAATTAAACAAAGGAATATACGCCATATCGTATCCAACTGAAACTAAGTGGCCAAAACTCTGTGTGTATGACCATGATAAACAGCTCTGGCTCGTTCAATATCTATTTTAATGAAATTGAGAAAATTAGATCGGTTCTACATTGATTTCTTCCAGACCCGGATGTGACGATTCCCCTGACCTGGCCCGATGGCATGTACGGACTTACCCGACCCAACGATGGTTGTCCCAACAAGGAGTTCACCTGGAACGAGGGATCTACATACCAGGATACAGAGGATGATAATGGTGGCACCAACTCATGGAGTGATCCTATTCACATGACAGGGCAAGACTCCAGTGGCATGACGCAGAACTTTTGTATCAAAACCGTCACGAACGTTAATGAGAAATCGAAGTGGACCTGCATGGCAGCCCGGAGGCTACTGCATCTACAAGTACGGTGGCAGTTGCCCTGCAGGTAGTTCACGTTTAATATTGTTCAATTTAAAAGTAATTCACGATGTCGGTATATGACTCTGATGTTCATCCAATTCATTTTTGCGATAGAAGCACAATAAAGTTTACATCACGCACACGCGCCCACCCAAGCACACGGCTTCACACATAATATATTTGGGTAGGATGTAGGATTTGCGAAAGGTTCTTCTTTAAATTTCATATTTCATTGTTTTTGTCCTGGCATAATGCACGTGGACTTTGGTGTTTACTGGCGTGTATTCATCAAATCTTTATCATCGTGATCCGTCATAGGCGGTTTAATATTAGGGGCTTTTCGTTTGTGTGGACGAGGACACCGTTCCCGTCCTCTAACGATGCGAATTGGAATCAGACATCCGTCCTGTTCACTACCTTATAACCCACGGGTGGCCAACCTTTTAAAGCTCACGGGTCACAGCTAACGATTGGCATAACTTAGCGGGCCTAAGGTAGTGTTCTCCCCCCTAACATAGTCATGCAATACGTGTACACCTGCAATTTTGCAAAAACAAACAAGCAAACAACAAAATCAGTGGAAAAAAAAAATCAGGCTTACTTTTTTGTGTGATTTCTAGGGGGGGGGGGGATTTGATGGACAAGTTTTAGCAAGTTAGACCGGTCACTAATTGTCAGGTCTTGTTAAGTCTAGCTTCACCCTGTAACTCTCCATAATTTGCTAGATGCAGCGTGTCATAATGCCCATTACATTCACACTCTGGTGACAAATAATGCAAAGTGGGTTACTTTGATTTGATTTTGATTTTGATTTAACCCTCAACTTAGATACAACAATACAAATAAAAATGAAAAAGAGAGACTTGCAGAGAAGAAAAGGAAAGGGGAGAGAAGGAGCGTTGGTAATAATACAATAAATCTCATACATCTGCTGATTGAATGCAGGTTCGTTCATGAATGGAAAAACGATGCTAGGTCATGGACGATTACACATCATTGTTGAATATACTGTGGCGGACACGTATTCGCCACCTTGGCTTGACACGGAGTATTTGTCAGGATGCCCCGTATCCGGCCAGGCGCTCTCCGTCCGTTTGGACAAAATATATGCCCGTAGCTTAATGGCTGGAGTTATTAACTGCTCACACGTATCTCAACAATCATTCGTCCATCGACTACAATCGGTCACCTAAACGTCTCGTTCACAGCATCAATCAATTGAGCATCCTTCGAACAATCAATTTCCCTTGTCAACACTTGTCACAGGTTCTCGTCCCTTGGTTTCACTGCTCCAAGAAATCAAACCAATCATGATGTGTAGGTTGAAAGTCTTTATTGCGATCCATTCAACAATCGGGTAAACTCAGTACAAGTACAGTGCAAACTATGTGAGACTTAGCTTAGAGGCTTAGGCCAGGCCAACGGCCAGGCCAACTATCAGGCCAACTATCAGGCCAATTATCAGGCCAATTATCAGGCCAACTATCAGGCCAATTATCAGGCCAGCCTCGGTGAGGCTGGCCTGTATCGGATACAGTGCAGTGGAAAGCCCTAGATGCACAACCCTGACCATCGTAACAATTTCCCAATACATAACCGTATAAAAGAACAATTATGTCCTCGTTAGTAAAACAACACTTCAACACAACATTTCTACTAATCCCATAAAATCTTCACATATAATCTTCAGTATAACCCCTCATTCCTGATTAGATCACTACTATACAAGTAATATATCCAAAAGAAACATGATAATTGCACCAACATGATCAAAATATGTCATTTATGCTCATTTTCCTTCAGTTTGGTAATTGCTAAATCAACGATGCACCATATTGCTATAGCGCATGCTCGTACAACAGAAAATGCTTAACCTTCGTCCAATACTAAAACACTGATTTGTTACAATACAGTCAATGAACACACGAACATGAATACAGTAGAATTACACACTATGAAGAAATACTTCACAGATCAATCTGATTTTATGTTTCTGCCTTCATCAGAAACCTTCCTTTTCTTCGCGGGTCTCGAAGTCGATGCCTTGTTGGTTGTTATTTCAAACAAAATCAAGGATACGGCAGAAAGAATATCCTAATCTTATTAGTTGTACAATGTACATATCATTGAACGCGGTTTAAAGGGAAGGGGACTATCCAGTTTACGATTCGGATTCATGAGAAAATTCAATGGCGGGAGAAAAGGGTTGTAAGTTTCAAGACAAGTATGGCATTTCAAACATGGCATTTCAATTCACAACATTTGTATATTTACAAATGTTACTGCGGGCGGAAATTACGAACTGAAATTAACACTGCGAGTGATGTTAATGTCGTTAATGTAATGGAATGAGAGGAAATTTGAGGAGTTTTGTATCAACCAAGTAGTCAATTTGTTGTGAATGATGAAAACAAATTATGGAAATAGAGATTGCTGTGTGTAAATGTTTTACCCTATTTCATCACTGCTATGCGGGCCGCATTTCATTGATAAGCTATTTTTATATTTAATTTTTCAAAGCTCCGCGGGACGCGCCAAAAGAGCTAGCTCACGGGCCGCAACAAGAGCTTTTCACCTTTCCTGACCTTTCCCCATCATCTAGCTGACCTCTTAGCTTAATCCGACCTCTTAGCTTAATCCGACCTTTTATTTTCCTCTGACATTACACGTTTCCCTACCTTTCACTTTTATCTGACCTCAATTTTTCAAACAGACTTCGCGGAAGGCTATTTTTACGGTGGGGCCATGCTTGCTAGAGAATCACTCTTTTGCCTTCGACATTTTACCACTTTCTACATTTTTGCCTTTGAGCTTTCATTTATCAAACATTTCGCCTTCATCTGATCGTTTGTTTTAAGAATTGGCTGAGTTTTCATCGTTTTTTACCTTTCGCTTTTATATCATTTTTTTTTGTCTTGACCGACCTTTTAAAAAAAACACTGATATTCCACCTTTTCTGACCTCTTAACTTTATCTGACCTTTCATCTTTATCAGACCTTTTTATCACCTATGTCACCGGCCTTCGCAGTTATATTTACTAGGACGATGAAAACAAGGATACACTTGCTCTTATGGTGGCACCTTGCTAGTCTAGTTCTGGACTCTATATTGACTTTTGTTATTCGCCGACTATAAACGTTAAGCCGAGTGATGGCGCGATCCTTAGTGATTGCACGATCCCCACAATCACTCGGCTTAAAGCTAAACTTTAGTACTGGTAATGCGATTGCATTGTGAAAGAAATGGTGTGGAAAGGATCAGAAACAGTTGATCATGTAGCATGTAAGTATTGGTGTGCACTGCAAGGTTCTGGAGTCATCAAAATCATAATAAATTTGACCTAGTCTTGGTAAAGTAACAAACACTCACATAGAAAGCTATATATGGGACAACACACATGGTGTCGGGGCTAGTACTACCTTGATTTCCTTGTCTTTCTATGCTCATTACTCAGCCAGTATACATTTTCTTCCAAAGTTGTTTGGCACATGTCATTTATTTGTAATCTTGAACATTCAGTGTAAGTTTCGTTTGATTCTGTGAGAATTTTTTTTTTTTTATTTACCAGTACTGGAGTTTATCTTTAACGTTAATAGTGGGGATCGCGCAATCACTAAGGATCGCGCCATCACTCGGCTTAACGTTAATAGTGGGGATCGCGCAATCACTAAGGATCGCGCCATCACTCGGCTTAACGTTTATAGTCGGCGAATAACAAAAATCAATATAGGGTCCAAAACTAGACTAGCACCTTGCCGGCTTGGAACTCATTTTCGCTATTTTCTGACCATTTAGACCCACCTTTATGTGAATGTACGCCTTTTAGCTTTGTTTTAATATATTGACCTTTCGCCTTTATATCACCTTTCCCTTCCTGTTTCCTCGACCTTCACTGAATGTATTATACTGGTGCGACGAGGACAAGAGCAACAATTAGAACTCGTACGGCGGGACTTGGCCTGCGAGAAAGTCACCCTATCACCTATATGTAATCTCTTGTTTTATCCAATCTGTTCTCTTGAGTTATCTTTCATATTTAATTGACCTATCGCCTTTCCTGACCTTTCACATTCAGCTGAAATTTGCACTTGATCTGACCTTTAACCTTTAACCTTTATCTGATTTTTGTTAACATCTTTTTCCTCAGCCTTCACCGAAGGTTGGATTTACTGGGATGATGAGGATACCAACAACCAGAACTCGAAAAGCGGGACCTTGCCGTCTGGAAGCTACGGCTACAAAGATAACACCGAATATATGTTCTGCTGTCGCAGCGATGGTGTGACTGACCAGGCCATCTTCCTACCCACCGATGATAACTTCTACCTCTTCTCACAGTTCGAGAATTGCCAGACGGTGTGTATTGAACATATTCAAAAACATATCTCACAAAAGTGTTTCTCTTTAAATGCATACTGAAAGCCCCCCCCCCCTAATGATAATTATTAAAAAAAACACATAACAAAACAAAACACTGTTTTCGCCGTAGTAAAGTGTAAATAATTTTGCAACGTTATTACAATACTTCTTGATGTTCTTTCCCCTTCTTATGATGATTATGATTATTATTATCATTATTATTATCATGATCATCTTCATCATCAACAAATATTATATCCTTTTTATTACCAGTATCATCATTGTTAATATTACTACATATTAAGTACGTCTCCATTCCATCTTACGTTACACAATTTGTATCTTGTTTAGGTGAACGGGATGACTGTATCAAAGGAATGGTTTTATTGGGACACTGAAGACCACAATAACAGCGACAGGATGTCTTCAGTACACCCTTACCAAGGCGTTTACTCTAACGGTAAAAACGTCAACCTCAACTTCTGCTACTACCAAAAAGAGTGAGGTTATTTAGCACATATTTTGATTTAACGTCTTCAATGGATAACGACCACTAACAGTGACATAGGTCAAACCATAGCTGGTAGAGTAGAGTTATATATTTATCGTACGGGAAGGTGCTATCGTTCGTAGGTTAAACAAGAAGCTTGTGTTTTGAGAAACGTGAACAAAATTGTGACTTTTTAAAATTCTTTGTTATGCTATTATGAAAGGGTGACATAGAATAAGTGTATCCTGTAGAAGATGTCTCTTCAAATTTACATCCTCATTTTCAACATAATGACAAGTAATACAGCTGAGGTTCTGGATCACACACATTTTGTGTGGTCCCATACACATTTTTGTGACTTTTAGGAAGACTAAACTGATTCATTATCATTATGATGACTATTCCGGGCTACATTAATGATTAACCTAGCTCAGTAGGCCTACGCTACATGGGTCAAACCATCGGCAGGCCTGTGTCATCAAGGGGGGAGGGGGGTGGGGTGGGGGTGGTGGCTGGTGAATTAAATACCGAATTCACATGCAACATAATTATTAGGGGAGGTTGTAGAAGAGGTCCTATTTTACTAAATAATAATAAATAAATAAATATTTCAACTCATATTTCCTACGATACACTTTTATATTTCCCCTATGGAAATAGCCTAAATAGAATGAGAACGAGCTGACTAAATTCTTCACATTTCGCAGAACTCTGCTTTCCCTTTAAGTTTAAGAAAGGATTGTCGGAATGAGCTGGGACTCACGGTGTAGTAGTTCATAAAACGGTGATAAAATTAACTTTAAGGAAAATAACAGTAAAAATATGATTTATTTTTAATGAAACGGTGTGGTTTAATGTATTTAAATTATGTAAGAATAATACTTCTAAGTAGGCTATTATATGTTAGGGCTGTAGATTTTTTTTATTGTTCCATTAATCGGCTTAATTTGAGCAATCAACAGAGATCAACTCTTTTATGCACGAATATTGGATCATGAATGTTACGTAAACTTATTTCTAAAGCAATGTGTAGTGGCCCGGGTATTTAGAACAGAAGACTGAAAGGTCACTGTATTGTTTTCATTGGTCTACTGTTTTTCTTCGCTAAAAATTAATCCGTTTCAGGACATTTAGAAGTGAAGTACTGTGGTTATGGGTATTTCTTGCAGAGGAAAATAAGTAAAAGTAGAATAAATGCATAGTGTGACGGGAACTTAATCGGATTTCATTGAGTTTCTTGTTACGGTGTTATATGATTGTCGTTATATAGCAGAAGAATGTGTTAGTGAAGAGAGGGAAAGATAGATGCAGATAGAGAGAGAGAGAGAGAGAACGGGATGAGAAAGGGAGGGGGTTTATTGAGAGTGAGGGGAAAAAGATGGAGGGGAGTTATGGAGAAAGAGAGAGAGAGAGAGAGAGAGTGAGAGAGAGAGAGAGAGAGAGAGAGAGAGAGTGTGTGTGTGTGTGTGCCTGAGATAAAATGAAGGGAGAAGAGAAGTAGAAATATAGAGATTTTAAAAGAAAGAGAGAGAGAGAGAGAGAGAGAGAGAGAGGGAGGTATTCAATATCTAAAAAAAAAAATAATGCAAAAGAAATGGAAATGTAGATAGAGAGAGAGAGTGAATATGAGCATAGAGAGCGGGGGGGGGGGGGGGGGGGGAGAGGGAGAGGGAGGGAGAGAGAGAGAGAGAGAGGAGAGCGAGATGGAGAGCGTGAGTCCGGTATGAAAGGGAATGAGGTGAAAAGTAAAGATAGATATTTAAAGAGAGAAAGAGAGATTAAAAATAAAATGAGAATGAGGGGTGGAAATATCGATAGAAGAGGTGGATCTAGACTAACTAAAGAGAAATAGAGATAGTGAGAGAGGAAGAGAAGGGGAGAAAGAGAGGAAAAGAGATAGAGAGAAAAGGGAGAGAGATTGAGATGAAGGGGAAGGAGAAAATAAGTAGTTATAGGTTGGTGAAGGAGTGTTGCTGAATAGTTAGAAAAGGTAGATGCAATAGCAAAAGGAAGAATGAATACTATAAATGAGATATTTGAGCTAAATGAAGAAGTTTAGAATAACTGATCGCGGAGAGGTGGAAACGAATGGAAAGGAAGAATGTGAAAAAATGAAAAAACATTTTGGTGACTTTTAGGAAGACTAAGCCTATTTCTTATCATGTTCATGATTCCGCAATCTCAAAGTATACATCAATATTCATGTGCTACACCATCAACCTTTTTCAATCACTTCCACAACGTTTCTTTTACAATGCAGACGCTTGACCGAAATTCAACTTTATCTTAAAATTTCATAGAGCTCCGAAATAGTTCGCTGTCCAGAATGGTATGCGGAATGGAACTATTTCTAGTCATAATTATTTCCTACGATACACTCCCGCCCCCCCCCCACTCAGTGTTATTTAGGGTACGCATATGCGAGTTCCCTCCTTTTGAAAACACCCCATAAGTCCGGTGTGTAAAGTCAATTTTGTGTGTGTGTGTGTGTGTGTGAAAAGTACCCCTTTACCGGACATTTTGGTAACACGCATGCGGTCATTCCGACCCCGGAGTGGGGGGGGGGGGGGGAAACACTTTTATATTTACCCTGTGGAAATAGCATATCAAGAATGAGAACGAGCTGACTAAATTCTTCACATTTCGCAGAACTCTGCTGTCACTTTAAGTATAAGGAAATATTTGTTTTTACTGGGATTCGCGGTTTAGTAATTTTTAAAACGGTGATAAATGAACTTTAAGGAAAATAACAGTACAAATATGATTTATTTTTAATGAAACGGGGTGGTTTAATGTACTTAAACTATGTAATAATAATGGTTCTTGGTAGGCTATAATATGTTAGGACTGTAGATTTTCTTATATTTTTCAATTAATCAGGTTAATTTGAGCAATCAGCAGAGATCAACTCTTTTATGCACGAATATTGGAATATGAAGGTTACGTTAACTTATTTCCAAAGCAAAGTGTATTTATTAGAGACTGAAAAGTCACTGATAAATGTTTTCATTGGTCTACTTCTTTTCTTCGGTAACAATTAATCTGATTCACTAAGCAGTGTACGGCTATGGTTATGGTTATTTCTTGCAGATGAAAATAAGTTAGAGTAGAATAAATGCATATTGTGACGGAAACTTAATTTAGTTTAATGGAGTTTCTTGTTACAGTGTTATGACTGTTGTTATGGAGCAGACGAATGTGCTAGTGAAGAGAGGGGGAGAGAGAGACAGAGACAGGGGTTGGAAGAGAAAAAGAGATATTAAAAATAAATTGAGAAAGAGATGGAAATATCGATAGAAAAGGTTGATCTAGGTTAAAAATTAAAGAGAAATAGAGATGGCGAGGGAGAAAAATAGAGAAAGAGAGAGATAGAGAGAGGGAAAGCGACACAGAGAAAGAGGGAGAGAGGCTGGGATGAAAGGGAATGAGAAGACAAGTAATGAGAGGTTGGGAAAAGGAGTGATTAAAGAAGAAAAAAGATGAAATGAGAATAAGATCGAAATATAGATAAATAGTTAGGAAAGGTTGATGCAGGAGAAAAAGAAAATGTCACAGTGAAAGATAAAGATAAAGAGAGAGAGAGAGCATGGGATGAAAGAGAAGGAGAAGAGAAGTAGAAGTAGAAAGAGGTTGAAAGAGAGAGAGAGAGAGAGAGAGAGCGATGGATGGACGCGTATGGAAAAGGAATCAGAGAGAAACAAAAATTTAAGTTTGGATGAATAGTTAGAAAAGGCTGATGTAAGAGAAAAGGAAAGAGCAATAGTGAGACGTAGAAAGTGCCTGGGATAAAAGGAAATGTGATGAGGAGTAGCGAGAGAGGTTGAAAGAGAAAAATAAATATTAAAGATAAATTGGGAAAGATAGGTATCGATAGAAAAGGTTGATCTATTTTTTTTTAAAGGGAGAAATAGAGATAGGGAGGGAGAAAGATAGAGGAAGAGAGACAGAGACAGAGAGACAGAGAAAGATATAAAGGGGAACGGAGGGGGGGGGGGGGAGAAAGAGCAGACAAAGGGGTCCCTTGTATGACAGATGAGAGGAGATGGCAAGAAGCATTTAGAAATGCAGAAAATCGAGATAAAATCTATCACAAGTCATTCACATAGTGCAATCTTGAACTGTGAAATAAAAATAGTATTACAATTTATTAAGAAGATTTATAAAGTAATGAAGGGCGCTGCACTTGAAGCGTTTTGTTTTACAAAGGTATTGTTTGATCAAGATCTTAGAGAATAAGTGCTTTTGTTGTCTAGGAGGTAAACGTTCTTTAAATTTATTGTGGGTGTTTGGCAAGAGCATTGGTAAAGTCCATGCATAACTCCTCAAGTCTTGCTTCTAATGAACGTAGATCGCACGTTTCCAAAGCTGCTTCAAAACTTTGATTCTGACGTCCTAAAATGATTTTGCAATCTCGTTTCTGCATACGTTCTAAAGTTGATACATGAGTTTCTGCAAAATTACCTTTGAAAACGGTAACCCCATAATCTCAGATCGAATTAATGTATCATTTATATATATAAGTAAAAGGTCATCTGAAACAGGCGCGTACGCAGGGGGGGGGGGGGGGGGGTAAACCCCCCTTGAATTTTTGTTATGTGTATGTTTTGGGGGACCCCCCCCCCCTTTTTGATTTTGCATTTTGCCCCGACCCCTAAGATAAACAAAAATCCTCTATGTGGGCCCTACAGAGAAACTTGTTACTGGGGACCGGGTGAAAATGCAAAAATTATTGATAATTTATTGCATTTTCTTTGTTTTTTTTTTGTATTTGTGGGGGTAGCGACGTACCATAGCCACCACCGCTGTGTACAGTCATGATTCAGTGGCTAGGCAATGGCCTCGTAACTGCGAGCCCCCAGAATAAAAACAGTGTCGATCAGCTATATTAATGCCCTTGTGTGAGGCATTAATCCTCATTACTGTCAGTTATGACTTAAGGACGTAGGTCCCCTAGTTGATTAGCATAGTAGCACACACATGCTTTAGTAGCCACGCAAAACAAATACTCGCAAATTATTATTCAATAAAATCTGAGAATGTATACTATTATCTAGATCTATTAGGTATAAATCATTGTCAAAATCATCCTATAAATTGGGGTACAAAAAATTATTCCATCATTATGAACAACAGTGTATAAATAGAGAGAGGTGAAGGGTTTAATGGTGTGATTCTTTTTGTTTTGTTTTTTGTTTACCTTACTACCAAGAAAGCATTTATATGCTTGTTTATAAGTAATGTCTGGATTACATTTGGCCTGCGGTTAGTGTACGGAGCCCGTATCCTGGCAGGAGACGGCCATGAGATATTCTTACGGATTCACGGGCTCTGCGGCCTCTACGGGTTTGTTTCGGGGAAAGTAAGCCCGTACCCCGGAGACATGTCGTATGTGGCATTGCACGATCCCGAACGGGCATCACGCGGAGACCTCGTGCAGATCGTGCAGCAGTCGCCCGATATTTTGGTGAACATGGGGGCAAACAAA